TGATTATGAATTAAATGAATTAAGAGATACCATTTCATAATTGAGTGAAAGTCTAAGATGGAAAGAAGAAAAGTATATAATCTTGATAATGATCTTAGTAGGTGCACTTTTAGAAATGAGGAAAGGAGGTTTAAAGTAGAGAAATTAAAGATTGATATTTTTAAAGTTGGATATGATTTGTTTGTTATGAAGAATGATAATTGCTAAAAGAATGTATATACAATTACCTAACTTTATCATAACAATGCAATTTCAGAACAAATTTGTTGTGACATGCTTCAAAATATCGTGAAAGAGAAAAAAGGTTATCCAAAAGAGTGGATTCCAAAAGCAAAAGCTTTCATTAACAAAGAACATTTGTGGAAATTAATCTTTGTGATAAGAAGACCAACGTTTTCAAAATGGTAAATTTTTTGAATGAAAACATTGTTTGTAATAAGTACATTCTTATTATTGTTGATGATTTTTCTAGATTTACATGAGTTTATTTTTTTAAGCATAAATCTGAAACCACTCAGAAGATGATTGACTTTTTGAAACAAGTTGAGTTCTAATTACAAAAGCTTGATAGGAAGATTCGTAGTGATGATGGTACATAATTCAAAAACCACATTTTTGAGGAATTCCTGACAAAAAAGGAATCAATCCCAATTTCTCATTCCCATACACACCTCAACATAACGACATGGCTGAAAGGTGAAACTGATCTTTTTGTGAAGCTGCCAGAACAATGCTTTCATTTGCTAACTTACCTTTTTATTTCTTAGCTGATGCTATCAGAACCACATGGTTTACTCAGAACAAATCTTACATTAATAAATGATTTTTGATAACTCCACTTGAGATATTAAATAATTGTAAACCTAATGTGATATTCTTTAATGTATTTGGTTTTAGGTGCTTTATTTTTAATTCCAAATAGTATCACAACAAATTTGATGAGAAGGCCGATGGAGCTATTTTCTTAGGATATTCTCTTACATCTAAAGCTTACAGAGTTCTCAACAAGAAGTTTTGAAAGATTAAAGAAAGTTACTATGTTACATTTGATGACAAATTCATCAAATATTTTCAAAATGAAGTGACTCCTTATGAATAATTTTTTTCTCAAACATGTTCCAAAATTTCTTAAATTATGACGTTCGATGAAAATTTTATTTGATTCTTTGACGAACCTGAACGTGCTATCAACTCTGAAGCAAAGACTACTGAAAATAAAGTAGATGAATTGCTGAAGATTGTAGATGATGCAATCAATGATATTCAAGTACAAGTTGAGGGGGGAGCCTATAATCTCAAAATTTGAAAGTCAAGCTACTGATGAAATTGTTTATCCAAATGATATAGGTGTCGGAGAACCTAATCTTTAGCATGTTGAGGGGGAGGGTCTTTTAATTCCGACGAAAAATGTTTAGGGGGAGCAAATTTTTTTTGAGAAATTTCAAATTAAAACGACCAATGATAATATCCATGGGAGAGTCCGATAAATGGTAATGATAATATCCAGGAGGAGAGTCTAATGAGTGAACATGGTGGTGATTATTCTAAAACTGAAGAAGTTAATTTTGAATTCATTCCATAATATGATCCTGCTTATCCTCTAATGTTGAAATGGACAAAAGATCATCTAAAGACACAAATCATTGGCAATCCAGCTACAAGTGTTAGCTATAAGTGTTTTAACTTATGCTCAAGAAAAAGAAAGACAAACTTTGATAAACACAAATACGATAGGCATACATTGTGTACGTTTAGCGTACTAGGGAGGACCCTAGTATGATGGGCGTACACCGTGTACGTGGGGTGTAGGGAAGTTCAAACCCTAATTTTTAGGGTTAGGTCCATATTAAGCATCATTATAGTCTCATTTATCATTCCCTCATCAAGCCCCATCTGAGAATTCAACCCTTTAGCAAAACCTAAGTGAGAACAGTGTTTTGAGCTTATTTGTGTGCCTTTTAGTGCTCTTGAAGAAGGAGAAGTTGGTGCAAGAACCTTGAAGCTTTGAAGCAACTTAGATATAGTATTTCCCACTTGCTAGCAACCTCCTGGAAGTAAAAATTTCATATCTTGATCACTCTATCTTGTAGATCTAGTCATTTCTTCATTTAGGGCATTTTTGGTCCCAAATATGGTGATTCTTGAGCATGGCATGCTCTTAACCCAATAAGCCATCCTTTTAGACGTTATGAGGGGTCTTGAGTCATAAAAATGTGCTCTTGATGCTTAGTTTTACTACATGCATGCTATAGAAGGTCTTAAGGCATTAAGATGTTGAGATTTTGTGTATTAAGCACTTAATGGACATGCAAAGTCATAAAGTTGGAAACTTTATGACTCTTGCTGGTATTTTAGCCTTGGATCTGTAATTGGATGTGTTAAGTCGAAGAAATAAGCACTTAATAGGTTAAGAAGGGGACTGTTGCATATGTTGGGCGTACCGAAGGGTACGCTGCATGTACGTTGATCTGGCCCCGACGCCTCAGATAGCTAGTACGCCCCACGTACCTCCAGACTACGCCCCGCGTACAAAGCTTGAGTCTACTCGGTTGTGTTGACTCGTTGAATTTGACCAGTTTTGACCAAGGGTATTTTGGGGGAAATTTTATCAATTTAGAATGGAAATGTCTTGAAATTTTGGATTTGGGTTAAGCCGATATTTGGGAGCAGAGTATCGATCAACTATTCGTCAGACTGTGAGGTGAGTTTTCCTCATTGTACTTACGGGTCGAAGGCACCAAGGCCGGCTCATTAGATTGATATCCTGGTCTACCGTATGTTTCTATGTTGTAGTGATATGTTAAATCTGTATCATGGTATATAGGATGTTGCTATGATGTAATGTTTAGTTAGATCTGTATGACTACCTGTAGGCTGTATATGCTAGCTATTGATTGTTATGGTATATGTTGATATGCGATGGTGTACTGGGTTGAGGCGGTCCTGCTTTGTGTTGAAGGCCAAGATACCCAAGGCGGTCTGGATAGACCGGAGGCCTGCGAGGCGGACCAGGTCGAAGGTCCGGAGAGCAATCCAGATAGGTTGAAGGCCCAGTGAGGCAGTCCGGTCTTGTTGAAGGCTCTGTGTGCATGTTGTTGTTTGCTATGTTTATGTGGTGGTACTTTGGGGGAACTCACTAAGCGTTGACTTACGGTTTTAGTTTTGTTTCAGGTACTTAAGAGGATCGTGGCAAGGCGAAGGCATGACCGTACACATCCTTGGTTTCATGTTTTTGATCTTGGGAGACTCTGTTTTTAGATAATGTTTTGGAAACAATGGTTTTGTAAACACTTCTTTTTAGTAAATAGGTTGTTTTGAAAAGTTTAAACTTGTTATGATTTTTGAGACGTTACATTCTCTATAACTCTCCAAAGCCTATCTGAACCATCATGTCATCCAAAAATTTACAATTGAGATTATCAATGGCTCTCTTAAAATCGGCTTGAATATCATCATTTTTTCTTCCTTTTTTTAGCCAACCTCACCACTTCATGTACCATTAGAGGTCCTTCCACAATGTTTCTGCCTTTACAAAGGCAGTTTGTTCTTTGGTTATAATCACAGGCAAAACCTTTTTATGTCTCTTGGCTAAGGTTTTTGAAATCACCTAACTCACACATCCTATAAGGTTTATGGGCATGTAATCTGAAAGGTTTGAGAATCATATTTTCAACTATTCAAACGACACTCTCTTTATTTTAACCTACATCATGTTTCATATTTTTACCAAAAATGGACCCAAACGTTTCAATTTTTTGTGCCGCACCACCATGCACCATGGCCAAGGAACTCACATTGGTATGTGCTTGGGTTGGAGTTTCAAATGATAATTAAATTGGTACCCCGCAAAGGTTTTCTACTTTTTGGAGCCGCATTACGGATATGCTTCACAATGAAATGGGTCGTGAACCTTATCGGACACACCACCAACTCAACTCAAAGTGGAAAGATTTATACCAAAAGGTATCGAAGTTCAACGGCATCCATAACCTCTTAAATCAACATTTGAATGAATGATGGTGAATCTAATATTTTAGAGGCGGCTAACGAGCAATACAAATTGGAAAATAACGGGAGGGACTTTATCCATGAAGCAACTTGAATATTCTTTAAACTTGTGTTTTTAGTGATGTTTTTTAAGTAATTCTTAGCAATGTTTGTCGTTTATTAATATGTAATATTTATATATTTATTACTATGTAATGTTGTTTTTATTAATGAATCATGTTATATTTATTTTTATGTTTTTTTAGTAAGTAAAATGTTTAAATTAAAAATTATTATTTGTATTAAAAATAGATGAGTAGGTGAAAGTGAAAGAGTAGTATAACATAGGTTGAAAGAACAAGCGAAAGATCTAGTGAGAAATAAAGTGGCTGTGACATGGTACATAATGGAATACTGGAAAGTATAGAGTATATTACATAACCAAAGTGAATGAAGTAGGCATCTAGGTGCCTTATTTTTTTTTTTTTTTGCCTTAAATGGTATAAATAGTAACTCTTACGTGCTTTCACTTTATCAATCTATTTTTGTAGAATTATCTTTGTAACTTCTCTGTACAATCATTTGGTGCCTTTATTCACTTTCATCACCGTGTGTTCTTCATAATTCAATCTAATTCTATAGTTTGATAAGTGATCTGGTATCTACAGTGTTTATCGATGATTTTGGAACAGAAAATGCAAGTCATATCGAAATGTTGTGGAGATGTTTTACTATGATTTTGTTTTTTTGTTTTTTTTTCATTAATGGCTAGTGTTTTTGGTTTATTAATAATCTTGGAGGAAAACATTTTGTTCCTCATCTTTCATCAAGTTGAAGAGGACAAACATGTTGCATGAATCTGGAGGGGACACAAAACAATGTATTTGTCAAATCATTCAAAATTAATTTTTTGATATCTAAATCAAAAAATATCTGGAAAAAAATTACTTTCTTCCTTTAAAATCATCATTCTGTTTTTGATGAATATGAGTTTCATCTTGTTTGAATTTTGCGTTTCATCTGATTGGAGTTGTAAATCTTGGGCAGAAACTTCAAAACTTCGATATAGATAACACTTTCCAACACAACACGCAACCCAATTTCCGACATATATATATATATGATCATTAATCAAAGAGCTCTATTGATTTCTGTGTAAGATCAAACATTATACTTCCCAACAAAATCTGATGTACTGAAAGAATAATAAAATGAAATTAAAAAAAAAAAAAAAAGACATTTAAAAGTTACCTTCTGTCTCTGCTCGGCTTCCTTTTGAGCTCGCAACTCAGCCCGTTTTTGGGCATTTTCAGCATTTCGTGTCTTCTTCTCAATTGCCTCGTTCATTTTTCTCTTTTCCTCCAACCCCACTTGCTTTTTCAAATTGCATTCGATCTCTTTTTTAATTAGTTCATCTTCTTTCTTATCAACCTCCACCATAGTTTTTTCCATTTCTTCGTCCTCCGTTATCTCACTCAAACAAATGAACTTTGAATCTCTTACTACAAATTTAACTGGTTTTGTGGTTTTCATTATACGATTAGTCTTTCTAGCCGCTTTCCAGATAGTTTGGTTCTCAGGGGTTGGAGTCGTCTTTTTCCTTTGTTCTACTTTTGAAAACAATAAACCGGATTCGGTTTCACTTGAGATAGAAGAAACTGAATTCGTAGCAATTATTTCGCAGATATCACTCACACACGAAACTGTCTTTTTTCCTTGTTCAACTTTTGAAACTACGGAAGTGGATTCCAATTTACTTGAGATAGGAACTGCTTTCACAGCAATTCTTTCATTCATATGACTCTCAAGCGAAGTTTCAACAAGTGTACTTGGTGTGGTCCTACTAATGTAGTCTTTCCTGAATTCTTCATTTGAGTTCGATTCTTCCATTATTTTTTCCACCTAAAGTAATTAAAGAACATGTTAATCACAAACCACATACTAAATCTGAAATTAGAATATCGAGAAGATAAGATAACGAACCTGATTAACACACGGGTGTTGAAGTGCAACTTTATCTCCACCAGATGCAAAACTCCTTGCTGCAGTCGCATCTTCTTTGTACATATAGAAAAGTTTTTTCTGCAGATTCAATCAACAGAAAATTATAATTATTATATTAGGTTTCATTTTGTGTAAGATGCAAAAATTTACAACAAACCTTGTCATATAAACGTTTCTTCAAACTATATAAATGTGTATAAGCTTTTTGGCAGACTTCTTCTGCAACTTGGAATCGGGCTCGTAGTTCTTTTCCCTTTTCGTATTCTTCATCATATATTTTTCCTATTACTAAGGCACCCATTTCAGCTTTTAAAACATTATCTTTTAAAGAGTCAACTTCCTCCTTTATATTCTGCATTGAATAAAAAATGGACCAAGTTTTAGGAAATCTAACAGCCCTTTTAGCCTCCCTGTTAGCCGTTAGGGAAGCATTATTGTCAATCAAATAAAATTCAAGTTACAAAATAATGAGATCCGGCAATGAGTTATCGAACTATAACAAAATTTGATGATCACTGTAGCTCTAGAAGAAAGAAATAAAAATGTAGATTATGTAGTGTATAAATAAAGTAGTGATTGATATACGTACATTCAGGAGCTCCTTTATTTTCTTTTTCTGGTTTTGAATCTCTATTATGTGCTCCACTTTATGCATATGCTTCAAGAACAAAAACAAACCATGAGTTAGAACATAAAGTAATGCATGATAGAAAATATGCCATATTGTATTTTGGGTAGAAAAAGGAATGGAATCAATAATCATAGCATCATACCCAGTTATCTATATCTTCAGCCTCGGTGACTTGTTTCATCAAATGTAGAATAGATTCTAAATCTAACCCTTTTGATTTACGTAACTTCTTTGCAGCTGTTACCTCCAAGTATGCATTTTTGAGTACCTCGTAATGGGCTTTCAATATTGCCTATTCAAGTATATAATATTAAACTTTATAATAAAACATGGTATTAAAGACTTACAAAACAAAACTCTTAATTACCCTATTCTCTTGAATTTCAGCCCCGATTGCATATCTGCACATTATCTTCTCATCAAGTTGCAACTGAGCATTTTTAATCTGCTCCTTGAGCTCTTCATCATCAAATCTTGGAACCCTGTTATATGGTTGAACCACATCATTCATGCAGTGAGTCGCCTTGTCAGCACTTTTGTTTTGTATATCATCAAGAATTCTGTCTGGAGTGTTAATGGGTTCAGCCTCCGTGTTCAAGACTTCCGACACAAGATTTAGGTTATTGGGATCTTTCTCATGAACACCGAATGAGCCAAACTGAAAATTTATTTCAGGGCACTCAAATGTATCTGGGAAGATTACTATGGGTTTCTTTACTTCAAATTCACTTTGTTTATCATCAACAACATCAACACGCTGATGCTCTGTAACTTGAGGAACCCCATGTTTTTCAAATAACATCTCCCCATTCTTGTTTTCTGGCTGTTGGGTATTTGTTTGAGTTTTATCAACACTCACTTCTACCAAGTCTGAAATTATAGTCTCATCTCTAATTTGATCATCGATAGCTTCTGTCTCAAATTGTTCAGTGTCTTTGGCCATTTGTGTTGCATAATCTGGGCTCAAAGTATCCGTGTCTTGGGATTTTGAGTCCTCCAATGGTTGAGAAGTCTCAGTTGTAATCAAACTACAGTCTGTGTTGGTTATTTTCCTAGAATCAATATCAACTGTTTCCACTACTACATTTTCTGAATCATTTACCTTCTCCACTTCAAGATGATTCCCATTTGTTTTTCTTTTAATATTCACTTCTTCGTCGACACCTTTCACCTCACAATCTTTTGCAGTTGCAGACTCAAGATCAATGGAATCAGTCTCCAATCCAGAGACTTCGTTTCTAAAACCCTTGTCAACGATCACCTCAACATGTCCAACGAGAATATCAGAATCACCAGAAAGAAATTTACCATTCTCAGTTCCAACCTCATATACACCGGCCATTATGAAACAGTCACAGTTTGTTTCCAGAAAAAGAATAAGCAACAATAAAATAAAGATCGTTGAATACCTACAATCAAATATAAGAGGGGTTAATTACGACTTACGATTCAAATAATTCGTATACGATGAGGAATGAACGGTGATCACGAGCGTAAAAATAGGAACGAAGAGTTGGATGAAGAACACGCGGGAGAGGAATCTCTATCTTTTCTTATAATTTTCTCGGTATTTTGTTTTTGGAAAGCAACAATGTATATCCTTAATAGAAATATTTAACTTTTTTTGTAATTTTTAAAGTTTTGAATTTATATTATCCGTATTCATAATTTATACTAGGTCTAAACCCGTGGAACTCCACGGTTTAAAAATTGAAAAATAATTATTCTTTTGATAGTGAATAAAAAAAGATATCAAATTTTAGAAATAATGAAGAATAATGATATTGTAATTACCATAAATAAATCAAATATAATAAAGTATCATAAATTAATTAATTAATATGATGGATGAAATGTGATACACGAAAACTAAATAAAAGATGGTAGAAAAATAATGTTTATAAATTCCCAAAAACTTTCTTATAAACAACATTGGAAGTTTTATTTGTGAGACGACCATCCTTGTCTAAAATTAACAATTTTAATAAATCTCTGCTTTGAACTCTAGATAAAGCAACATACAATTGGTCATATGAAAAGACGGGATGTTTGAGAAACAAACCAACCTTGGATAATGACTGCCCCTGACTCTTATTAATGATCATTGCAAAACATACAACAATGGAAACTATCTTGTTCGGAATTTGAAGGGATTTTCTTTTCTGATGGAGTTTAACACATTCTTGGAATAAAAGTGCGGTTTCCAATATTAGTTCCAGATATGATACGTGACTCAATAACACGTTTGCCCAATGATATCATCTGGAGTCTTGACCTATTACACAATCCATTTTTCTGCTCAATATTTCTCAGCAACATGACGAGAACACCAATTTTTAAAACTAACTTATGGTTTGGTAAACCCGATACTTTCAGACCATTTAAAACATCAGGTGAATATAAATTTGCATCAAACTGATCATGGACAAATTCAGATTAACATATACTATCTGAACTTAAGTATTTAACCCCATCTCCTGGAAACTTCGATAGCAAACGGTCATTTATTTACCGAACCACTTCATTTTTTGGAGCAAGTATTGCTCTTTCTTGAAAATAGCTTATATTGTTGTACTTTTCCAAAATTGAAAGATATACGAAGTCGATTAATGAACCTATAGGATTATGTGGATCATTAATGAGACTTTGAAGTAGTTGGACTTTGAACTGTAGATAAAAACATGTCGTAAAGATTTTTTTGGATTTTTTATTATCCAATTTATAATTTTCTAATATTTCTTTCCTTTCTAGTATTAATATAGTACATGTCCTCCTTTGGTTATATCAAACAATAATAATATAGTCAATTAAATGTTATAAGTAACCATGATTATAATTTTAAACAACAAATATAAAATTTTTAAATTTTTTAAGACATAAATTATAAATTAAAAGTATCACCATTATCATTCATGTTTGAAACATCCTCCTTAATAAATAATTATTTTTTTGTCACATGTCAATTTCTCAACAGTTTTGACACTTATCATTTTATGGTATTTTTGAAATAAATATTATCCACTTGTTAATTTTTGGTTTGTTTCATTTTTTAAAATTAAATATATATATATATATATATATACATATATATATATATATATTAAATTGCAATAAATACATTTCTTCATTTCTTATTTTAAAGCTTTACATTAAAAAATATTTTTTGTTTACACTTTAATATTTAATATTTTTTTTAAATCAACCCGTGTAATACACGAGTCTCTAACGTTGTCCTTTCTAATAAATCAAAATCTTTTTGCCATATGTCATCTTCTCCTTCATCTGGACACATGTCGTTTTTCTATAATTTTTGAATTTTCTATTTTCCACTTGTCATTTTATTGTATTTTTTATTTTATTAAATTAAAATTTCACATTTAATATGTAAAGTAATATATATATATATATATATATATATATATATATATATATAAGGTGTTTATTAGAAAGAGTTTATATATGTAATATATTCAATGTATTAAAGCTCATTAATTTTAATAATTTAGAACTTTTTTCATTTTTTTTTATAAATTCAAACTTCTCAAATTGTTAAAATTTCATATGTAATTTTTTTTTTAAAATAAACTCATATAATACGTGGGTCTTACACCTAGTGTGTAATATGTAAAAGATACTTTATGGGCCATTGAGTAGATCACATAAATTCTTATATTTTTTGGTTAAGAAATTAATTAAATGATTTTATTTTGGTTTTCATGTAGCTATATATGACATTTAAAAGACATATATGAACAAACTACATAACTTACACAACCAACGCATCAATAACTAACAATTAATTTAGTATTAACTATAAATAGTTAGCTATTTAAGAATTGCGTTGTTTTTGTCCAGATACCATTTTAGTGATGAATCATACACCAATGTTTTAAATTAATATTTATATGTAGAAGGATTTTTTGTTAAATAAATATTAAAAATATATTTATGGCTCAAATTAAAAGAATATTATCATATATAATCACATGATGGATTCCTAATATAGCATTGTACTTTGAAAGTACATTGCTATAAATGGGAGGACATTTCGTCTAGACACAAACATCGAGAAACACACACACACAAATTATGGCTTTCCAAATACGTCATAATAGTTTTAAACAACAATGCTATAACTGAGAAGCCTTTTCAATATTACAAAAATAGTTGTGTAACATATAGGCAAATTTCAAATAAAAAGTACTTGACAAAAAGTAAATAATTAATAATATTTTAAAAATATTATTTGGAAACAAAAAATATAGTCAAAAACTAAAAACAAACATATGTTAGCAAATATGGATTCAAGAATTTGAAACAAAATTGACATGAAGGACCTGTTTTAAAGTCAATCTTTATGCCCTGCAACAAATTCAATCAACCAAGATTTGACCAATACAAATAAATATTGATTAAAAGGAAATGAAATTCACCTATAATTCTATCAAAATATCACCATATTGAAGACCAATTATGCAGACCATAAAAGATGTGAAGGAACTAAGCGTCGATGATTCCAATTGTCATTAGCCGTCCATATTTCAATAAAATTAAACATATTTTTGTGAATCAAGAATCTTAAATAGTTGACTTTAGTAAATTACAAGAACAACCCCTCTTCTTTACACGAAACCATAAGTTTGGTCCATTTTGAAATCTTCACGTACTTAAGTTGCTGTAAGATTTGCATGAAAACAATATGTATATCATAGATGACTCCTGATAAACAACGACCATAGATTGATTCAAATGCACTTTCGTGTTTCTAAAACCAAAACATAACAATTCATATAGATTTAGAGTAAAGAAACAACTCTCTCTTCTTTATTAAATGTAACTGCAATAAATTGATGTTATATTTCAAAACAAAATCAAGATAAAAATCAGTAAAAAAAGAACAATGAAACTTATGATATACCTGTAACAATATCTCTAATGATGAAGATGAAATCGGCAACCAACTTTAGGACCTGTGAAAATAAACACATATACACAGTTATAGAGGGGGGATGGTTTCTGGGTAATCAAAATACAAAAGCTCGAACTCAGAAATCCAGGAAAGAATATATGAGAAATCAAAACAAAATAAAATAAAAAGCAACACAAAGATGCTTACCAATTTACCGGTTCCTCTTCATTTGAAGATGCAAAATCAAAACTAGTTTACCGGTTCTGCTTAGTTACTATGTATTCCATTTTTGTCCATTTATCAGCAACATACCACAATCTGAAAACAACCGATATAAAAGAAAGACTAAAATGTACAACCAATCAAATTCACAGGTGCAATAAAAAATGATAAACAACATTGCAACAAAGATTAATAGAAGAACAAAAATTTAACAAATTTGTATCATATTACTTACCATAATCTCATCTACTGTCCATGTTCTTGGCTCTGAAAAAAAAAAAAAGAGTTCTTGACTCTGTAAAATAAAGAAATGAGGTCATCCTAAATGACTTAATAGGAATCCATATTTGATCCTTAATTCAAATGTATATGAAAATTTGAACATAAAAATAGAGTAGAGAATACCTGACACATTGAAGTAGACTTTCGATATTTGCTAGAGAAATAGAAATCGATAAGTGCCCTACCAGGTAAGGGGTTGCCTTTGTGAAACATAAGTTGTTTCTTAAATTTCTCTTGATAATTCTTCGATTGGTGCAACAGTTTCGCTAATCTCATAATAGGGAGGATTTTGATTGGTGTATCATCATTAAGCGAACGATTGCCTGGCATTGCCAACTAAACCCTAGATTCAATTGCAAGATGACTATGACTATATATGAAAATTAGACAAAAATCATGCCAAGTTTTATTATCTCTTTACTTAGGATGAACACGATTGCAAGAAAATAAGATGAAAGGGAAGAAGAAAAAAATTGATTTACCCTTCTATATGATTAAGCCGACTTTATATCTACAATTTGAAAAAGAGAGCAGATGTGACTTTAGGTTTTAATCAACTTCCTACATTCAAAAAAACATAATTTTAAGGGGATAATGAGAAACAACAACATCAAAGTGGATCAAAATCAACCGACATCTTCATTTGTCAAAATCATGCCATCAAATCAAAAAAACAAAAATGCATACTTAAAAATCATGAAAACAAAATTAAATACGCTTACAGGTTTAACAAAACCACACGTTTGGTTGAAGCTGTATATGTAACAAATTGGAAGATGCGTTCGAGGGATATACAACGTGGAAAGAAGCCCTAGTCCACCGATTTCAATTTTGGATAGAATTACATTCCTGATTTGCTGAAAAACCATCTTGATTTCAAAAGAGGTTAAAGAGAATTCAACTTCGAAATTTCCAATCCCAAAAATCAA